ATGGCATCAACCAAATGACCCCTGAGGTCCTCTTTCCAGTAAAGAATCACACCACCTCCGGACCTATTTCGAGAGCGATCCGGTAGATCCACCAGAATCTTGCCCATCTATTCATTAGCTGGCGTGCGACTGAGTCTATCCATGGTGGCTTCACTTTGGTTATTTTCACCGAAAAAGGGATGTGGGGGTGGGATATATTAAAGAGGGAAGACTTAAACGTATCCCAAACGATCTGTATATTATTATCCGGCAAGATGATGCATGGGAAACTTACTCCCTTGGCTCTAATAGACTGAAAGTTGGCGTGCCAAATGTTCGGAGTCCGGACCCTGCGTGAATCATAGTCTCCAATGAGAGCACAAGTGAATGACAAGCACGTATGGTCACTGGCTCCCAAAAGGGGACCGTACTCAGGATCACTCACAAAGTCAACCGACTGCGAAAACTAGGCCCAAGAGAGAAGGAGCGTAACCCACCATGTACTTGATGGGTTGATCGACAAACTGGTGCAAAGGTATTTCCAGTGTCAAGTCAACAAGCTCGGCAGCCAACCCAATTGTCACTGCCTCATAAGCTTGGTCAAGCCAATTTAGTTCAGGGACGTTGAAGTCCCCCATTATCAAGCATCTGTTCGCAGAGTGAGGGTGATTTCTACTGCTGCTCAGCAGAGCCACGGTGGTCACCGGCGGAATTTTTGGCGTGCCGATCCACTCCGACTGAAAACGGCCGCAAGCACTACGGCGCGTGGAACCTTGTACTCTCCAAAATGACGTCGTTAATTGAAAAAGTCGTTCCTTCATCCCAGCTAAAGCCCCTCACTAGAGGTCCACCTTGAATGGATCGAGAGTTGAGGTCAACTAAGAATAGAAGGTGAAAATTATGGGACCGCTTTAGGCAATCTTAATCAGAACCCGACTACTCTCACTACAAGACTGTCAGAAATGTTTGTCGCGATGAAGCGCCAGAAACGCCAACAGTACGAACTATCCTTGGTACAACACTCTAGAATCGAGCCTAAAATGCTCTACTTATTCGAAAAGAAGCACTAGAGCTGGTAAAGGCATCGCTGCTGTGTTTCTGTGATCAGCAAATTTTACTTCACGAGGACGCTGAGTAAGCTAGTCACTTGGCTAAGCAATACGCTTCTGTTTACGCGAAAGAAACACCATTTAGTGACAGAGCCGTATCCACCTTTCCATCTTCGTTGGCCCAAGTAGAGATTAACAATGATTCTGTGATGAAACTTCTTCTTGAGTTAGATCCGTATGGCTCACCTGGCCCTGATGGATTGCATCCTTTGTTCCTCAGGACTGTGGCGGAGTACATAGTTTCACACATATGTCAAATCTTTCGTCGTTCTCTAAAAGCTGACCGTCTTCCTTGAGCTTGGAAAGTGGGTGCCGTCAAACCCATCTACATAGGAGAAGGTCGACATGATCCGGTCAATTATCGTCTAATGTGTTTGACGTCAATAGTGTGTAAGGTTATGGAATGGATACTAAAACAACCTGTTATTATTCATCTTGGGGGACAGAATGTCATTTCTTATGCCCAGCATGGGTTCCGAAAAGCACGCTACCGTACCTCGAACTTGCTCCTTGCTAAGGAGACCTGGGCAAGGTCGCTAGACTCCGGCAAACGCTTGGACGTTGTGTTTGTTGACTTTAGCAAAGCTATTGACAAAGTCCCGCATGGATGGATTCTGTTTAAGTTAGAAGGAATCGGTATTTCTTGGAACCTCCTGTCTTGGATCTTCGACTTTCTAAACGACCGCTCTATGTCAGTGAAGGCGAATGACACATTTTCTGCTCCTGTTCTCATGACGAGTGGGGTCCCACAGGGCTCTGTCCTCGGTCCCGTGCTTTTCAAAATCTTCATCAACGACTTACCACCCATTCTTCAGACGGATTGCCTAATCTACGCTGACGACCTAAAGCTATGGAAGGAAGTATTTAGCCCTGAACACGCAAACAGATTACAAACTAGGCTCGATCTACTCCATGATTGGTTGATTAAGTGGCAGTTGCCCGTAAATCGTGATAAATGCTGTTCTCCCGTTGCCTCATCTAGCCCATTTGGAACTTACCACATTGGTGGTTCCTTGCACAGAAGCGCAGCCTAAGGTAGGGATCTTGGAGTAATAGTGTCATCAGACCTCAAGTCTATCCAAGACACACAGAAGAGGGTCGCCGCGGCCTACAGGATGTTCCATTCTATACGTAGAGGGATTTCTCTCCTGACCCCTGGGCTTTTCCGATTCCTCTTTGGCTCGTAGATACGCCCGATTGTCAAATACGGGCTGCCCGCTGCTACCCTCTTACCAAATCCGAATGTGATATGATAGAGAAGGTTCAACGGCGTGGATCAAAATCCGTCCCTGAGGGTCGAGACCTGTCGTATCCAAACCGACTTCAACGTCTGAACTTGTTCTCTCTAGGTTACCGCTGTCACCGAGGAGATTTGATATTCGTACTCTCAGAGGAGAACTGGGTTGCGAGTTACAGGACTTCTTTCAACTCAACACTGAGAGTTCGACACGAGGCCACCGCATGAAACTGTTCAAACCGAGGAATCTCCGTGTGCGGCTCAATTTGGCCTTACCAACTCGCGTAGTGAATGATTGGAACCGGTTGCCGGATCCTATTGTTGACGCTGAGACAGAAGAACGTTGTAAACAACTGTTGGATTCTCACCTGAGCGCGCTGGGATTTTGCTGCTACAGTAGTCCTCTGCGGAACCTTGTGCCGCAATGACCCACGCCATCTCCACAACGATCGGGAAGTGAAGGAGCTGACAAAGGATCTTGCTTCTGCTCTCTATCATACAATGATCCAATGGCTTTCGTAAGTCACGCTCGTGTAACACCAATCTGCTATTTGCCAGAGAGAAATGGGCGAACTCACTGGATGCGGGCAAACCTATGGACGTTAGCTACGTTGATTTCAGCAAGGCATTTGACAAAGGTCCTCATGAGCGTCTTTTGTTCAAACTTCAAAGAATTGGTGTCTCTAGGAGGGTTCTGTCGTGAATCTAAGAGTTCCTTTCAGTTATGCGAGTTAAGTCAATGATACCTAGTCAGCACTCGTCCTTATGAGCAGTCGCGTCCCTCAGAGCTCTGTTCCTGGAACAAAGTTGTGCAAATTCTTTAGTAACGATCTACCTTCAACAATCTTGACCGAAGATTTGATCTATGCTGACGATTCGAAGTCATGGATGGAGGTATCCAGCGCTAAGGATGCTGACCGACTCAAAAATACACTTGATCAGCTGCACGATCAATCAACTAAATGGCAGTTGCCTATAAATCGCGATAAATGTTCTGTACTCCTCATTGGTGCTATTTAACCATTCGGTGGTTAACATCTTGGCGGTAATTTGCTTAATAATGTGAAACAGGAAAGATACCTTGGGGTCATTGTATGCTGTCATCTAAAAACCAGCCAGGATACTTTGAGGAAGGTTGCCGCGGCTAACAGACCACTGCTCTAGCCGAAGAACATTCGCACGATTTCCACCGGGGTTTTCAGACTTGTGTCTTCCTCCCACGTGCGTCCAATCCTCGAATATGAATTACCCGCAGTTAATCGGCTTACAAAGTTTTAACATGGTTTGATTGAGAAAGTTCAGCGGCGCGATTCTAAGTGCATCTTTGAAATCCGACACCTGCCATCGCGGAGATTTGATCTTCACCCGACGCATTCTTAGAGGAGAGCTGGGGAGGGAATTACAGGAATTCTTTCATCTCAACACAGAGAGTTCAACAAGAGGCCACAGTTTGAAACTGTTCAAACCGAGGAGTGATCGAGTGCGATCCAGCCTGGCTTTATCCACTCATGTTGTGAATGACTGGAACCGCCTTCCGGAGTCCATCGTCGTTGCCGAGACCGAGGAACGTTTCAAGCATTTATTGGACTCTCACTTTAGTTTACGGGGATCCAGCTGTTTCCAATGCAGCTTCAGTGCTTCTCTGTGCGACCTTGTTCCGCAATGACCCAGGCTATCTCCGAAACGATCGGGAAGTGACGGAGCTGACAAAGGAACTTCCTTCTGCTCTCTATCATCCAATGATCCAATGATATCACATTCGTCTCTAGCACTTTAGTATGTTCTCTCTGGCACATCGGCGTAGCCGAGGCGATCTGATCTATGCTTGGCGCATTCTGCGAGGTGAGAGGAGGATCGAGCTCGAAGGTTTCTTCCAGATTAACACTATGTTCGACTCGGGCCACTGTTGGAAACTGTTTAAACCGGAGAGACTCAGGCGTCCCGTTGTCAACGCGCATACTGAGGAATGTTTTAAACGATTGTTGGATTTGTACTTGTTGAGTTTGCAGGACTGTTGATGTTTCGTAAGCAACTGTGACGACCTAACTTGTTGATTGCTGCTGCGCAAACACCTGCTACGATTGGGATGTGATGGAGCTGACAAATGTTTTTCCTTCTGCCCTCTACATCCCAAGGGTTTGATCAGAGGAACACAAGCAAGAACAAATCGGAATAAGGAACAACCTAATAGTTATTATAATGAATAGCGACGGACTTCTAGTGCAAGGAAGGTGGGCAGTTATTGGTTGACTAGGGTGTGGTTCGGTTTTCCTTTTCGATCTATAAGGACCTCGTAGCATCTTATCATTTCCTGGCTCATCGATCCCCTCAAAAAGGAACACTCGAGGGATTTTTCTATCGTTTCGGTCCCATCTGAATCTGACACTGGACTAGACCACAAACAAGCGAAACACGTTACTTTCGCGGTCATGAAACCAATAAGACTTTGACCACCGGAATTTCACTATGTGCAGTGGATTCGCAAACGCCGAAAAAGACTAGGTCCGCAAAAACAATAACACTAACGAGTAAAAACAACCAACGATCTAGAGTAAAGAAGAATTCAGTAGCAAAAGCGCTGATGCGTCACGATCTAACGTTAGGCGTGTTAATGGCAAAGACGATATTTACTGACCTAAATAGAGGATGAAGGAAAAAGAGAACAAAAATCTTTTCCCAAATATTTATTACCAGTCATATAGTGGTTTACCAGCGCCCAATATTTTTCCTCAGTGGACCCTAAAAAAGCCAAATGAGGCAAAAAAGGACATAAACATTACCATGACTGCATTTTTCTCCGCCCTGGTTTGGAAACGACCGTGGCCGAATTTGGAGGACGTATCGATAAATTTGAGAACGACTTTTTCCTTTGATCGCCGGTTAACTTGAGCGAGAATAGTTTTCCTGATTGTTATCACACGTTTTTTTGGACCCATGCAACACCCCTTGATCATAATGTAGTCGTTGCGAACTTCCCCATAGTGTGGGAAACCACCCATGGGGGTTATATTTTTAGCTGTAAGATCAAACTCAGTGGACGCGTTTCCCTTGGGCTTAACGAGTGCAACTTTGTCCTTGGTTTCTTCTTTAGCGGCTTCCGCTTTGGCAGCTTCTAACTGGGCTTGAAGTCCTGAAGAGAGTTAAACATAAAACATGTCATACCTAGACCAATGCGATATATCTTTTTATTAAGTTCGGTACGATGAAAGTAACCTTTCTGCCCGGCACGAGCGACAGTGTATCCGACGCGCGCCGGATGCCAAGATCCGATACAAGCTACCTTACGTAGGCCTTTGTGGGTCTTGCGTGGCAGCTTCTTCGTGTGCCACCTCGATGTGACGCCTTTAAAGCCCTTGCCTTTGGTTACACCAATCACATCAACCATTTCGTCTTGAGCAAAAACGTTCATCACCGGCACCTGCTTTTCAAATTGAGACTTTATCCAGTCGACTTTTTGGGATACTGTGCCGCCATTCACCTGAATCTCCATTATGTGGGCCTTCTTTTGGCGGTGTTTCATGAGTCGCATCTGCAGAAACTCGGAGTGTTAAATAGTGGCCTACCTGAGTGTGCGCGATCGCGCGAACAACAGTGCAGTACTTCTTAATCTTCTTAAGGTCACGGTTTATCTCTCTTAGACCAGCTTCATCAGCCCACTTTTTAGATGCCTTAGTAAAAGCCTTCTTTTTAGACTTGCACCAATCCTTATAAAATCTTCTACGGCAATCTTCTGTCAAATGCTCTGCCCAAACTGTCTTGAAGGTACGGAGACCGCGGGCGGTTGGTGAGTATCCCACCATGCCAACAATTACCATTGGGGGGCATTCAAGTACAGTAACCGGCTCAACAATCTCCCGTTTGTGGACTTTGGAACCAGGGCGATCTACTTCGCGAACGATATGGGTCATTCCGGCTTTGTAACCTAGGAAAGCAGTAAGGTGTGGTGGTAAAGAACGACGATCCTTGGGAAAGGCTTTGCACTTTCCCCGGATTCTGCGACTTCGTTTCTTCGGGGTAAAGCCCATCGAGCCATGCCGAGGTGCTGAAAACTTCCTGTGGGACTAAAGGCGAAGTTACGATTAACAAACTTACCATGCTGAAGGCAGACCGCGTAACAAAGGTCAAGCGTGAACTATGTACTAAAACAACGATGAGTTGAATAAATGCTAATTGAAGAATTGCTATACACCAAACTTTCAACCAAAATTAAAATCCGTGGTTATTATTTTTACCTTCGGTTTCCTCCTATTTGGCGGTAAATTAAAATTGTTAAGCGTGCTGTCTTTTTGAGGTTTTACTTTCATAGGACAGTTCCGGAACAGTGTTTACAAG